ACCGCAAATTTCTATTTTTTTTAAATATAAAAAGAATAGGAGCTTCTGCAGAGCTTTTAGATAGATATATTCTTCTATTAATAATATTCTTATTAATATAATTTTTAAGTATTAAAAGTTCTTTTTTTAAAAAGAGATAAATAGGCTTAAATAAAAGTAATTCGCCTTTAAAAAGATTAATAATATGATTTTTATTATAATATTTAGAAAGAATTTTAGATTAATTAGAAGAGAAGATATCGGCAAATTCAACCAGTTCTAACAGAATAAAATTATTTTAATAATATTCTAATTTTTTATTATTATTTAAAAGTTATAATTTTTTTAAAACTTTAATAATTATATATATACAGGCGTAATTTCGGCAAGCCTTAGTAAATTTCCGAAGACTTAATTTTTAAATTTAATTAAATTTAAACTATTATTGCCTGTTTCAGAGAGATAAATAAATTTTATAATTAAATAAAATAGTTATAAAAAATAAAATTAAAATATTTTAAATAGTAGTAATATATAATCTGATAAAATACTGTCGTATTTTTCTTAAATTAATAATATTTAAAGAAATATTCTATACTTTATAGCTAATAATAGAAATATAATTAATAATTTTAAGCTGTAATAAAAATTTCAGTAATTTTAAAAAAAAATATTATTATATAAATTTAATACTGATTAGATTATATACTATACAGCTATTAATATCTGTATAGATTTTCTTAATATAAAATATTTATATTAATATTAATATCTTATCGGCTGTTTTTATTTTATAATATAAAATTAAAATAAAAGAATTAATTTCAGCTTATTCTATTTTTTTATATTAATTTTTTTAGTTTATAATTTTTAAATTCGAATAGTTCTTTTTTTTTTAAAAAATATCGGTTGGCAAGGTGCTCGGTACTATTATATAAAAAATATTATAATAATTTTTTAATTAGCTTAGAATAATCAGATTTAGAATAGAAAAATTAAATATTTTTATAGAATTATAACTGTTTCTGAAATATATTAAACCCGTCAGATCTCTATTTATATTTTATTTTTATATATATAGATTCTAATAATAAATAGTAGAAAATATTATTTTATTTTATTTTTCAAATAGTTGATATATATATTTTTTAATATAGCAGCTGAAATTAGAAAGTAATTTTATAAAAAAAAATATAGCTGCATTTCTTTTCAGTAGCTCTAAAAAAAATATTATTTTAAAATATTAAAATAGATATAGAATTTATAAAAAATTATTTTACTACCGAGCTCGCTCTAACTGGCTTATTATATTAGATTTAAAAATAATAGTATTTTAAATAAAAAAAATATCTATTTAGTAAAGACAGATTACAAATAATTAATATTTTTTTTATTTAAATAGTAATTTTTTAAAATAACAGTACCATTTCTGCCGGCAGATTGTATTTATATAACTTACAGTTTTAAAAATCTTATAATAATTATTATAAAATTTAAATAGTATTTTCTAAAAATTATAGTCTAAATTATAAAACTACTTCTAGTGTTTTTAAATATTAAAAATAAGTTCGAATTGCGGAATATTTTTAATCTTAATATTTATTTTAGATTTATTTAAAAAAGAAGAAGTTTTCTATTATTAAGTCGGTACTAATTTAATATTATTATATTAGATTTTCTATTATAATTCGGCAATTTATTTTTACAACTGTCGGTAATCTTATAGCCGATTAATAATATTTCTAACTACAGTAAGATCTTTTATTAAAGAATCTGATAATAAAAATAATAAATTATTAGTAGTAGAAGAAGTTTCTGATTTAGAACTACTATCAGAATATAAGAATTACAGTAATATACTATATTTTATAAATAATTAAAAAAAAGAATTAAAATTATAAAGGAAAAAAATCAGTTAGATATAGAATAGTAACAGTCTATTTATTTTAAGACTAATTTTTGCTATTCTGAAGATTTAATAAGATCCTAGAAGTTAAATACTAAAAAAGATCTGAATTATTAACGTTACGACTGTTATACTAAGAATATGTAGGTATACTGTTGGCAATCCGCCATAGTTATAGGGGTTATCTATAACACATCTCCGAAACTTTACTAATATCAGATTTAGATAATAACGAAAAATAGAAGATAAAACAGATACTAAATAATTTATATTATTAAAAAAACTAGTTTTATTTTATAAAATAGTAAAAATAGTTCTTTAAATATAATTAATAGCTACCGGTAGAAAATTTAGTAAATATTCAGTAAAAAATTTATAAATTTTATAATCAGATTGCAGCTTTCTATCCTATAAAATATAAATTAAGATTAATATATAGTAGAAATAATAATAAAATAATTATAAAATATATATAATATATATATAAACTATAACAGAAGAAATATAAATTATTATATTATATATTTATTTTATTTATATCTATATATATAAATTATAAAAAGAATAATATTAAAAAAAGCCCGGATTATATATATTCGACGGAGTAAAAACAGTATTATAATAATATAAAAAATATTAAAACAGTTTGTTAATAATAATAAAATAATACTAATTTTATAAATTTTTAATTATTTTTATTAAAAAATTTTTTATTAATTTTTTAATAAATAGCTTTTTCCGCTTTTCCGTCCGTTTCTATATAAATATATTATTTTTTTAAATTATTTTATTTAAAAAATATAGATACAGCTACTGATTACAGTAAGTAGTTAGTATTATTAAATAAAAAATAAAAATACTAAATATTTTTTTTAATTTAAATAATTAAATTATAGTATTTTATTATAAATTTATAATACTCTGCTATATATTTCTATTAGATTATTAATATATATTTATTATATTAATAATAAAACTTACAGTTATAATTTTTTTTATAATTACTAAAATATAATATTTAATATAGTAAATTTTTTTTATATTAATAAATTTATTAATAAAAGCAGCGGCGGTACGGGCGACTTTTTAGTATAATAAAAAATCTTATTTTTTTATTTTTTTAATTTAAAAATAGTTAATTTATTTTAAAATTACGGATAAATTAATAATATTATTTAATATTATTATTACTTTCTAGGCTATATTTAGCTCCTATATTAAAATAATATAAAAAATAAAAATAAAATAGATTTAAAAAAGAAAAAAACTTATTAAAATATAATTAATTTTTTCTATTATATATTATTAATATTTTATAAATAATATAATATTAAAAATACAGCAGAGTGTAAAGTTCTTACCGGTAATTTTATTAAAATTTTTAACTAAAATATATAAATATTTCAGATATTATATAATATAGAAAAAAAAGAACTAATCGGCCAGAAGATAAAAAGTTAACAGTATAAATATTTTAATTTATTAATAAAATTATAGTAATCTGTTAGCGTTTTAGCGATGTTAAAAAAATATAGAATATAAATACTATATATATATTATAAAATAAATAAACAGAAATAGAAACAGTAAAAAAAAATATAAACTTTTCGATATAAAATAAATAATACTAATAGTATTAAGATTATTAAAACAGATGTACGAAAGTATATTTATATTATTAATATTATTATTAAAAAATAATAATATTTTTAAAATAGAATAGTATCGAATTATAATAATTATATCTAACTAAAATCAGCCCCGGCCGAATTCTGTCTATTATTATTATATTTATTAAATAGATTAGTTTATTTATTAAAATAATAATATTATACTGCTATTATACTATTAAAAACAGCTGTATATAAAAAGAAGTCTAATTATTATAAATAACTTCTATAATTATAGCAGATTGCTAATAGTATATCTATATATTCTTAGTATAACAGTTATAATATTAATAACTCAGATCTTTTTTAATATTTAACTTTTAGAATCTTATTAGATCTTCGGAATAGTAAGGATTAGTCTTGAACTGAATAGACTGCTACTATTCTATACCTAACTGACCTACTTTCCTTTTACATAGTACTAGTTTAGTATATAGCGTGCGAGGCCTCAGGCACCAACTGGTATCTGAAGCTGAGCTCTATATCAGGGCCTTAGTCCTATAACATATATTATCTGTATAATAAGAATATATATATTACTAATTAATCTGCAGTCATTAGTCTATCTACTATATCTAATCTTTCTAATCAGAAGATATAAATAATTAAAGTAATAGTTATATTTTAATCTAACTATAACCGTACGGTTAAAGATTTTTTATATCTTAATCTAAACGTCAGATTATGGCCAGATTAAGATTAGGATATAACAGTCAGATTGATCCACTCTACTTACAATATTATTCTTATTATTTTAATTTATATTACAGCCGATATCTACAGGCTGCTGCTGACTATACAGTTTGTTTTTATAATCTAAATAAAATAAATAAAATTATTTAATAGTTTTAGATATATCTAATAATAGTTATTAGTATACAGCAGAACAGTGTCGATTCCCATCTGTATATCTTCTTTATATTTATATTTCAAACCCCGCCGGGCAGCGGCGAAATGTTGACAGTATATACAATAGAATAAATCTTCTATAATATAGGATTCCTTTCCGTACCGAAGGTGATTGAATGCTCAGCCAGCGACCTGGTGGCGCCGTACCAGGAGCAGACCGGGCAGCGGGTGTTGGACCTGCATAGCTTCTGATGGGGCAGGTTGATCTATAGACCCTTGTCAGACTGTGGATCTTGTCGGAGCTGCGACCGGCTTCAGTCCAGAATTGCTTTTTTGGGAGTCTTTTGGCCACGAACCCCACAGTTACATTATTGAAGCATGCAGCAAGGCATGTGTTGTTCGGTTCGTGGAATGGTGGGTGCGCGGACTCCTTTATGTCATCTTGCATCGGAGTGGCTGATCTAGATCCTAGATCTGCAGCTCAGTGCCTCGGTTACGCGGATTACGACCATCCTCCATCATCTGTCAGTTGAGGGCCTCTGGGGGGGTTTACGATGCAATCGACGACTAGAGACATCTTCCTTATTCTTCTTCTTCTCAACACCCGACAGGTATTTTTGTGCAATATGAAAGCTCACGTGGTGTATGTACGCTGATTGCGCTAGAGTGAAGCAACCAATCAGACCAGCAAGAGATGCCCTGGCATACATCCAGACAAAATACCATGCTGCAAACAGAAGCTGTCAGAGCATATAATTAGGCAGTTCGTGAAATGTTTGCGGCGAGAAAAGCCAGTCGAGCTTTTATTAGTGGGTGGGGACAAATTCCGCCAGCTGGCGTTTGTTAGCGCCCATCACCGGCCAGTCTGCCTTCTCACAACACAGCAACACAACAACATTATCGATCGAACTACTGCAGGTTTACAGGACACTAAATACTTTGTCCAGTATTATCTGACAGCAAAGAAGATCTCATTGCTTCTGCCAATGAAACACCACAAGAAATTAGGTCTCAGGCTGATCGACATCGACAATCCTCGCTAATCGCATGGTCGAGAGCAGATTTTCCGCCGCGTTGGAATGCGCATGAATTGCACCACCATGAAACAGCTTGGTAGCATCCTTACCCAGATGCTCCAGCAAATACTTCTCCCCACCTGGATGCTTCCCCACAAACTCCTTCACGTCGTAAACGACCCCATCCACCAGAAGCAAGCAAGAACCATTCTGGACACGTGCAGTATACTCCCCAAGGCTCCAAGTTGGCAGTTGCTCCACCGGCGTGCCCCAGGAAATCCCCTGCCGCTGAAGTTCCAGTTGCCGTTGGATCTGCTGGAACCGACCCTTTTGGATCTCATTCTCCGGGAATCGTTGCAAGTTCCAGGCGAGGTGAGCTTTCTCGCAAAGCCAAATGAACCACTTGGTCGGGTCATACTGGAACCACCGGATGGCGTTGCGGTAGTCGCCCGGAAACTCGTGGTGGAAGTTGTGGTAGCCCTCGCCCCAGGTGATGAGCGCCACGAACCAGCAGTTGCGCGGCGAGAGACGGTTGGCGAACGGCTGGTCGCCGACCCAGTGCGCCAGCGAGTTGACGCAGAAGGTGGCCTGCTGGATCAGGAACAGTCGGACGCAGCTGGCCCAGATGAATCCTCCGGCAAAGTCCCCGTACATGAGCCCGCAGAACAGGGTCGGGAAGATGTAAGCCGTCAGAAAGAGGAGGGTGAGATAGTGTTTCCGCTGCCACATGACGATCGGGTCACTGGAGAGGTCCTGGATGTCCACCCGGCCGGTTTGCTCCGGTCTCCGGCGCATCACCACCCACCCGTAATGCGAGTACCATAGCCCTCGGCGGGCGGAGTAGGGATCCCGATCGGTGTCGGTGTAGCGGTGGTGTGCGCGATGGTCCCGGCACCATGTCCGGATGGAGGTTTGCCCTGCACTGGCCCCGCCGATTGCGAAGATGAGTTGCAAGGGTCTCCCGGCGGAATAGGCCCGATGTGCCCACAGGCGATGATACCCTGTGATGTCAGTTCAGAAAGGGTCTCTGGCAAAAGAGGAATGGGTCTGAATCTACCTGCGGTGATACTAATCCCAGAGACCGTCAGGTAAACTGAGGAGAAGATGGCGGTGCCAGACTGCAGAGGTACCCAGAGACTGCCAATTATCAACGCCAGAATGGGTATGATGCCGGTGAACCAGAGACGAATCCAGTCGATTCGATCACGCCAGAGCCTCATGTCGCCTAACCCCCTACTCAAGGGGGAGGGACTTGAGTGGGAGAGCGCCATCTTGGTCTGTGAACCGTGAGAGGAATGAATGAGGAAAAAAAGAATTTGGCCTCAAAGAAAGCTTTTAAGAGGCACTGTACAGCAACAGCATAAATACAGTGCAGCCCTGTGATGGTATAGATCCAGAGATCCACTTATCTAGAATCTTGCACCAGTCATATACTTCCGATTGAAGAGTCTGCTACTGCCCAGGAGAGCTAGGTGGCGTTAAGCGCCACGGCTGAACATAAGTTATTGGGACGCCCGTCTGAATCAATGTTTTATACTAATCAGCCGGTGTGGAACTGACATGCGGCTGGGAAAAATCTCGCATCTGGTGCCTGTCAACAGAGGATAAGGAAACAGATCTGCAGTCGGCTTTTGTGTGGCGCTCGAACTATTGACAATTGATCGTCCACTGGTTTCATGATCCACCGGTCTAAACCGATGGAGCCTGGAAAATTACAGACTCGCGACACAAAGGATAAATTCTACAAGCACTTCACTTCGATATCAGTAAACGTAGCAAACCATATTTATTACCCCATCGAAGTCCTTGGGCTGCAGGTTCCAAGATTGACAACATACAAAGCCCCTCTCTGTTCAACCATCAACGCTGCCTTACCGCGTTGTCCTGGGCTACACCTCCCAAATAGCCCCACCTATCGCGCGAAGCTGAACTGTGGATCATTTGTCGCACTGACTCGCAGAGCAAAGGAAGACTGGAAGTGAAGCACTAACTTAGGGCCCGCATTCTTCAGCTCCAGCCGCACCCTAGTTTGTGTTTGGCTGGCTGCATTTACTTCATACGTTCATGCAGTGGCATGGAGTGGCAGCCGTGCCATTCACTAGCTTTCACGCCATACTCTATTCAGCACTAGCGTTATTGCAAAGTCTTCACCACACAAACAGCTGGAAAAACGAGATGGGTCAACTCAATATAACCACTTTGTCTATTCACACTTCACAGAAGTCGTTGCCCTCCTACCTACCTCCCTAGCCGGCTAGCTGACCCGCTGCTGAGATCGATTATATAGCACCTAAGTGATTAAGATCGAATTGAATAATGCTACGTAGAATGGCTATCTCACAGCTTCGCAGACACTATACTGCAATCAAAGTCGTGCCCCTTATATGGACCCTGTTGCACTGAGATTTTACTGAGAATCCTACCCCTGACTCGCCAGCTATCGTGCCAGCTACGCTCGTCCGCTCGCTTGGTGAAGGTGCAGATCAAAATCGGCAGAAATTACCGATACACGTCAAACCATAGGGGAATGTGCGTCGGACGCATGAGGTATCCGGCGAAGATCGACAAATGATCCACTCCGTCTATACGAGTCTCCGCAGATCTATGCCGTGTCTTCTTCCGAGATTACCGATCATCTCGATCGGCCATACAAGACAAACCATCCAGGTGTTATTAATGTGTGGTAACTAGATAGGGCGTAGGGAACTTTCGCATTGGAAATTGAACCTGCTTCGGCCTACAGGGCTTGACTAGCCTATCTTATCTCAGCTTGCTCCAGCCTCTATCGTCATAAAGGGTTTCCCAACGATGTCGACACACCCATGATCCTATTTCTTGTCCCGCGAAGTCAGCGAAATGAAGGCGTCAAACCCACCAGACAAGCACACGAGCGACAACATCGATGAACTCGTCAATGGGCAGGATGATGGAGGTGAAACCGAGTTTTCGATCTCGCGACAAGATGCTTTGATGCTTCTGGCGATGGCCAGCCTCAGCTTGATGGCCGCGCTGGATGGGACCTCGATTTCGGTTGCTTTGCCGGTAGGGTATCCAGTCTCTCTTCACTGCGAGTGTCATTGACCCTGACTGGCGCTGGATCCAGACAATATCACAGGATCTGGGCGGAACCGCGATCGAAGCATTCTGGACTGGAACCTCGTTCACATTGTGCTCTGCCGGTACGTCCAGAGTCCTTCCCACCTGCGAACCGTAACCAACCAACCCCACACCAGTCTTCCAGCCTGTATTCTCCTCGCTATCGGACCTGTTCGGCCGCAAACCGTTGGTGCTGGTCGCGATCGCCTGGTTCACGATCGGCGCCATTGTGGCCGGGGTCGCCCACAACTTCACGCACATGCTCGTCGGCCGGTCGCTGCAGGGGATCGGAGGCGGCGGGATCATCACCCTCACGGGCATCCTCATCGCCGACATCGTGCCTCTGAGTGCACGGGCCAAGTACTTTGGGATGCTGAGTGCGATCTGGAGTCTGGGGACCGTGGTCGGGCCGGTGATTGGGGGCTGCTTTGCGGAGAAAGTCACGTGGGTATGCAATGCATCCAGCCTTTTCTGTGGGTTCCTGCCTGTTCTTGATTAACCAAGACCGGTTTCTAGCGTTGGATCTTCTACATTAATTTCCCCTTCATTGGGATCGGAGCGATCCTGGTCGCGTGGTCTTCGAGCGCCCGGGCGGGAAAGCAGCCATTTGCGACCCAAGTGCGCCAGATCGACTTCCTCGGCATCGCCCTGTTCATTCCCAGCTCCGCGGCGTTCTTGATCCCGCTGACGTGGGGCGGTGTGCTGTACGCCTGGGACTCGTGGCACACGTTAGTGCCGTTGCTGATCGGGTGCGTCGGACTCTGCGTGTTCGCCGTTTACGAGTGGCGCGGGGCGCGACACCCGATGATTCCCCCGGCCATCTTCCAGAACCGCACGGCCCTGATCTCGTTCGCGGGCTACGCGGTCGTCGGGCTCCTGGTCTGGTGCTGTCTGTACTTCCTGCCGCTCTACTACGAGGCCGTCAAGTGCTTCCAGCCGATCCTGTCGGGCATCGCGCTGTTCCCTGAGACGTTCACCGTCGCGCCGAGCGGGGTCATCGTGGGCCTGCTCATCAGCCGCACGGGCCAGTACTACTGGGCTGTCTGTGTGGGGTGGTGTCTCTCGACGCTGGGCTTGGGTCTGCTGTGTTTGTTGGATGTCCACACGGGGACTGTCGCCTGGGTCTTCTTGAATCTCGTGCCCGGGGTTGGCATCGGTATGCTGCTACCCTCCGTCGCGCTGGCTGTGCAGGCGTCGGCGACGCCGGAGACCCTGGCGATCGCCGTGGCTACCTCCACCTCGTTCCGGGGGTTTGGGCAGAGTATCGGCGTGGCGATCGGCGGCGTCATCTTCCAGAACCGCATGAAGAGCAATCTCCTGCGCTACCCTGCGCTGCAGTCGCTGGCGGGTCAGTATAGTGGGGACGCGGCGGGCGCGGTGGAACTGATCAGGGGGATGCATGGCCCCGTCAAGGTGGAGCTGCAGCAGGCTTATGCTGACAGTTTGAGGATCGTCTGGGCGTTCTGCTGTGGGATTTCGGGGTTGATGTTGATCGTCAGCCCGTTTACACAGTCGTACGATTTGAATCGCGTGCTGGTGACGAAGCAGGGCCCTGGCGAAGAGGAGATATACGCGCGGGAGAATAAGACTCTTAATCATGGGGGTGGAGCAGCGGTTTAAGCCGTCGTGTTCTTGCCACTTGAATCCTGGGAGGTATATATGGCCTGTATGGATTCCTATTCAAGAAGGGTTATCCCATTGGAGGTTGAATGTGATTTAGGTGGGACTTCCTGCTATAATTTAATTAACTATTTAAATTACAGAGAAGAGTTTAATATTATTCATTTTATATATATAATAGTATTATATAAAAAAGAAATTAGATATTAAAAGTTTTACTATTTATATAAAATATATTTAATAATCGATAATCTAAATTTTAGTATAATCTAAAAAGTTTTAAAATTTTTATTATTAAATAAATCTAAAAAGTTGTTTTAATAGAATGCCTTTCAGCTGTAATTAAATTTTTAATTTTTTCTATTAAATTTTTTAAAAAAATTTAAAAAAACTTTTTAACTTCAGATCTGTTTAATTTAATATTAATCTACAATCTATTATAGAAAGCTAATTTTTTAACCAGTCGTCGGAGGCGGCGGTCATCCAGAAGGCTGGCCAGGTGCCGCACACTTGTGGCTGGTCATCTTTATCAGAAAGAGGATTGTCGTTAGGAGAGCTGGGAAGGAGGGAACCGTACCATATATGCGATATCCGCCACGATGAGAGTCCCTGGGCTGTAGGCTATCTTGCTGGTCAGCCGGACACTCTTGCTACCCTCATTGCCGACCTTGTTGGTGTTGTCCACCCCGTGATAGATGCTACCCCCGTTGCCGATGAAGCCGTTGCTCCAGGCTGAGGTTTCGTCGACATAGTGCACATGACCGTTGGTCGGATCGGCCCCGGTCCAGAAGGTGAATTTGCTGAAGAAGTCTTGGTAACTGTTGCCGGTGTAGTTGTCCTTGAGAGTATAAGCACGGGTGATTGCTGGCCAGACCAGGGCAGTTGCTGCCAGGAAGAAGGTTTTGGGTGCCATCGCGAAAGAAGTAGCTCATGCAAGCTCACCGGTGGCTGCGAGAAAAGTGAAGTCGCGCCCCAGGCGTACAATATATGCGATGCGACCGAGAACATCTTGCCTGACAGGCATTCGTTGACTATGCTATATACCTATTGGTGCTAAGTAACCTCGTTGACTGATTAGGGGGCATATTCTCCCCGAGTGAGGGCTGTTCGACCCGATCGGGAGAATGGATACCCGCTAATTCAGGCCAGACTGACGGCCCGTCAGTGAATACGAGCCTGATGAGACAGTGCGAAACACCAACGCACCGTTGCTATCCCATTCATCGAGTAATGTGTAAAGGTCCGAGACTAGGGCATCTTTTGTCCGCAAGAGTCTTCAACAATGGAGTGGGATCGTCAGGGGAAAGCACCAAGGCATCGGAAGGCGCCCGATTGTCTTCTAGGAGGCGAAAGGTCTGCCTCCGCGTCACGAAGGTCAACTTTGCGTGATTGCGAACCTGGCCACGCCCGATTATGACTCGGAGACAATGACATGAAATTGTCACACGGTGCGTACGCACAGGTCTTGGGTAGTAAAGACATGGTCACCTTCAATTCACTAGTGCATGGAAGAAGTCATGATTTGAATGTCAGATCCGTCCACACAGGACACTAAACGCAGTCAACATATCCAGCCATGATGTCGGGTAAATCATTATCGTTCATTACATCTATATACCTAAATACTCGTTACTCATCAAACTGCCGATTGAAATACAAGAATAGGCGTCAGCGCCAAACCCTCCATGCAACCTTACATCACTTCTGTCATCAGTCCATCAGCATGTGTATCGGACCCACCAACCCGTCTGCGCATCCTGGGCCATGTAGACGGCGTCTCGATGTTCCATAGTCAAGTGAAACTGCAGTTGCTCTTTGCAGTCCATGGTTCCGACCAGGGCCTCGTGGGGCCCAGGGGTCTGTGGCCAGTAGGAGAAATCCGCGGCGCCGATGCGGGTGATATTGCCGGGGGCGACGTTCTCGAGAACGCGGACCAAGGCGTTGGAGCCGGCGGTGAAGTTGCGGCGTGCGGGGATGGTCCAGCCGAGGGTGCAGTGGCGGGCCTCGCTGGGCAAGGTGAAGGTCATCAGTTGGTCCCATTGAGTGGTGGCGGAGCGGGAGAGATTCAAATCTGGGGTGGGAAAGGGAGAGGCGGCGGGTTCGGTCGGGAAGATCAGCTCCATCTGCGGCTGGAAGACTTGGGTGCCTGAGGCAGGACAGCTGGGTTGGTGGTGGTGCTGGTTGGTATTGGCATCGTTGTCGGGACAACCCGCCTCCAGGGCGCACGGATCGACAGAGCAGCACCCCCGGAAGTGATTCAGATAACACGCATAGAAGGTCGTCCCTGCACCGCACTGCGTATCATCGCGCGGAGACAGCGCATTTGGCACATTGGGGTCGGTCGTGGGAAGAGCCACAGACAGGGACCAGACCGCCGTGCTGGCAAGGAGCGCTTGTCGGAAGAACATTTTTGGAGGGGATTTTTGGCAGTTCTGAGCGATTAGATGGGGAATGTGCCAGGCGTGGTTGTAGGAATGCGAAGAAATTTGGAATGCAACAGATCGAGGGTGAAGGCAAGTATCTTCATTTATATGTTGGACGCGATCTTCTCTCCGCACCATCGCAGGAGGTGGATGCAAGGTGCACCCCTCATCCCTGCCGAAACCCTGGATGAGAGATCATCCTGTACCCGGCCGTTGCTCACGGAGCTCACCCTGACTCAGGTTATTCTCATTGGCGAACTTCTTGTTCGACTGAACAACGACCTGCCAGGCCCCGATTCCCAGATTGTACCACGATCACATTGGCTGGGTGAGTGGACAGATAGGGCATCCGCGCACGCAGAGACAGTAAACTACCCTGCTAAGCAGAATGACAGCGAATCCCTGGTCCCTCCTCGATTGCCAATGCGCTATGATTTCATGTCTACATGGCCGAGGCAGCAGCGAGTAAGTTTGCGGCTCACGAGGGCTCATTTGCTCTCCGCCTGCAATCACGGTTCCGCTGTCGATCGCGCAGCGATAGCGACCGTCACACCGATGTGTAGTTAAATTGCCGACCTAGGGCCTACAGTTGAAGATCTGCTGGGAAGTGAATTTTATTAGGATCAGCGAGTGTATGGAGCCAGTGGACAAGACATTGATCGCGTACCGAGGCAACCCTCTTGTTTGTGGAGAGCCCTGTGGCGGACGTAGACTGCAGCCCCTTGTGCTGGGTTTCAGGTATGCGACTCACTATATGGATTATGATTGACATTTTCGTTGACATGACATAAAGAGCGGCCAGCGCTGCTGCGAAAACACCCGTGGAAGAAGCAGCAACCGAGAATGATGGTTTCTGCATTGTATAAACGCTGCAACAAACGCCATGTTCCATTCAGAAACACCGAGATAAATGCACCGAATAGAGTAGACTCACTTCAGACGGATTTGAACCAGGATTTCATCCGCATTGGGGGCCATCAGGGTTCATTATGATGAACAAAGGAGGCTGTTGTCTTATCCCTCAATTATCCCTCTACTCCTATCATCGACTCCAACCATGGATTCACGTGTTCGGAAGTGAGCCGATACCGTAGTGCAGCTGGCCCCCAAGCGCCCCCAGCGTCTTGTTTCTCCCACGCCGTCCCTGAATCCTTCGCCCTACAGTAGACGGTCCTGGCACCTCGCTTCCAACCCCACCGCACACTGATCGTATACTCGTTGGGCATATCTCGCCCCCTAGGCTCCATGTGGACCATCACCGTCGATCCTTCGCGATCAGGGTCCTAACGGTCTCTTCGACGATCGAACTCGGCTATTTTTGTCTCTCTCGATCGCATGATGGAGCGGAAGTGCAGATCGGGACCTCGACCCGGTGACAGGTCATTGACCCCTCAATTGGTGTTTTGGCAACCAGTAACACGCCATTTACGGCGGCTCTCCTCTCCTGAGTGTCGAGATTTCATCTATTCTGCTCTCTGCTGGTGTCACCATCGGGCGATGTGCACAAGCTGAGTGCTGCAAAGAATAAGCCGGTGGTGGAACAGTGTCCAAGATCCGGGAGACCAGTTCGCTCCGAGCTTCGTTGGGGCCAAAAGCACATGGGCAAGAAGGGCTCTGACAGCCACGCGAAGATCTAATGAATCCTGCTGGCACGCGTTGACGCTTCTATACCCGTATAAAGGCGGCCAAACTTCCAGGCTGTTCACATCCATCACCATCACCATCTCATTCTACAGAATCAACGGTACTCAGAACACTTCCACACTGATCCAATCCGCATTTTCGCAATGGCAATCCAAGGCACTCTTGGTTTGGCCCTCCTGGGTCTGTCCGCCTCGGCTGTGGCGCAGACTGTCGATGGCTCCAAGTACAACTCGCCCACTGGTGGCCCACCTTCTAGCTACTTTGCAGCGGCCTCATCCATTCCAGTTTCTGCGATTCAGTCGGCTGCCGCTAAGGCAAGTGGTGTGCCGTCGTTGGCCACCTACCCAGTCAACACCGACAAGAACTCCCCTAAATCGACCATTCATAATGACTGGGTCAAATTCGGCGATGTATGTTCCCGGGGCCACAGCTTACGGCAGCCTGGTTCTAACTGCAGTAGGGTGCGGCTCTTAGCTGGGTAGCTGATATGGATGTGGACTGTGACGGGATTGACTACAAGTGCTCGGTGAGCCCGTACTGTTCTTTCCATCTCTCCCTCGCGAACAGCACTGACTTTCAAATGTAACAGGGCAACGGGGACGGCCAGCCGCAGACCAACTGGGGCGCACTCGCCGCCTACGAAGTTCCCTTTGTTGTCATCCCCGACAAGTTCCTGACCGCCAACACCGACCTCCTCCCTGGGAACAACGTTGCTGCTGTGATCTGGTAAGTTGCGCCGATCACATACAGAGACAAACACTGACGACCGCAGTAACGGCAAGATGTACTACGGCATTCTGGGGGATTCCAACGGCGATGACCCCGAAGTCACCGGAGAAGCCTCCTGGCTGATGGCCCGGACCTGCTTTCCCGACGAAGGCTTGAGCGGCGACAAGGGCCACACAGCTGCCGATGTGACCTGTACGTGCCCCTTTCTTGGCTACTCACCAATATCTGTTCACCAGAACTAAAAATGGCAGATATCGTATTCACCGGCAAGGACGCCGTCCTCCCCAGCAGCGCCTTGGGCAAAAACTACATCACCAACTTCACCACCCTCCGGTCCATGGGCGACAAGCTGATGGGCGCACTGGCCTCTAAACTGGGCTTGGGCGGCGCCGCTCCCAGTGAAGGGCCGACTTCCTCGGCTGCGGCGACAACCCTTACGAAGACTACCTCCACAATAACCAGTGCTGCAAGTCCGACGGAAACAGACGAGGACGGGTGTTCTTGGTCGGGTCACTGTGAAGGTAAGTCTACTGTGTTCACTGGGGGTTATCGAACTAACAGCTTAGGTGCCACTTGCTCCTCTGATGACGATTGTTCTGATGACTTGGTTTGTGATAGTGGGAGCTGCAGCGCTGAGTAGAGGGGATAAGGTGGTTCCAGGGGGGTAAGGAAAATGTGATCATACCCTATGTATTATGTAGCTCTCACTGGATGTCACTGGAGTTATGTTTTGAATTTACATCATTGTCGTTGTTCTTCCACTTTTGCCTACGTATTTACACCACTTCCCACATAGTCGCGGTGCTAAGCAACAGCGGCAATTGGCAAGTGTGTATGCTTCGTGCGACCAAAGATCTCAAGCCTGAGGTTCATTTCTTGAAGTCGGCACCTCATATGTGAAAGACTTGATTCCAGGCATTTACCAGGAGCATTGAAGCTGTATCAAGCAGCCCCACCCAGAACCGCCTGACTGCGCGAATCCACCAGAACATCACCCTCAACCTCACCCCCATCCGCATCCTCAACAACATACCAATTCCGCACCACGGCCGTCCCATCCACCACCGTTTTCCAGACCTCCGGCTCACAAGTGATCGGTTCCAGAATATAGCACCTGGCCTTCGGGACCGCCTGCAGCTCATTCTTGATACTCCAGGTATCCCGCAACCCGACCGTGCGAAACTCATCCGTCACCTGCACCAACCCGGACGGGATATCCCGATCGAAGGTCGCTCGATTGAAAATTTCCAGCGACGCCAGTGGCTGATAGGCCGGCACCTCGTGACCGGCCTGATAGACGCGGGTGAAACTGAAATTGCCCAACTGCCTCGTCATACCTTTCACCCCCTCCGAGGTGAGAAGCGGGGTGTACCCGGCCGCGGCGAAGTCCTCCGCGCGGGAGTAGGGCACCGCCAGGCTGGCCGCCTCACCGCCGAGCCAGTTACAGGCGAAATCGCGGTCGCCGTACATCATGTGCACTTTCACACCACTGTCGAGCAGGTAGGCGATTGCGTCGAGGAAGCCACCGTGGTCGATGTCGATGGCGCCAACGAAGGCGTCGCTCACGGCGGGGGAGGCTCCGGTGAAGTTGACGGGGACCCCCAGAGCGGAGAGAACGGATTCTTGGGTGAGGTATCCCAGCCATGCTGCATTGCCATCAGTACGAGGTGCACAGCACTGGTCCAGGGGGGCTCACATTTGGGGGGAAATGGATCATGCTTGGGATGTGTGATGTCGTACCAGGAGTGCTGGTTCTTGCTATCAGCTCCATTGTCAAGACGAAAGAAAGGGGGAACTCACGTTCAACTCGCGTGCATATAACTGAGGCGCACCCCCTGCGCAACCTTGCTCGATTCCCTCGCAGATAGCAGAGATATTCGGCGACGGGACGACATCCGCATCGCGATCCTTTAAAGCTGCCTGACACTTCACCAAGCGATCGCGACAACCTCCAGGGCGCTCCCAATGATCCAAGAGCGCTTGGTAGGTCGACTGATTGAAGATCTCAATCCCGTACGTCTGCACCACATCAGCACCGACCACCCCGACCAAACGTCCACCCCAGCAACAAACTTACATTATTATACCCAAGGTGGATATACGACTCCCCCTGCACCAACGAATCCACTAACCCATTCACAATCCCCAACGTATCCAAATGCAAATACCGTGCCTCCGGCTCCGCCACCCCGTTGGCAACCCGCTCATTCTGCTCCTGAAAGAACCGAAAGAACCCGGGCCCATAGTGACCCCCGTAACTCTCCGCCCACAGACTGATGCGATCATCGCGCGGCCGGTAGAGGGGGAACTCGGAGAGCCACGTCTGCACGAACTGCCACAGCGCGGGCGCCGCATGCGCCGTCGTATCCGCGGTGGCGTTCACCTGCTGGCTGGCAAAGGTGCCCACCAGATGGGTAAGATTCGACTCCGGGATTTCGGTCGTAAAGTTTCCGGGTAGGATGTTGCCCCCTTCCCCGTTGGCGTTGGCGAAGATGGTCCCGTTGGTCGGCACGTCGTACGAGAACCCGACTTGCACCGGCTGGTCGAGGAAGAGGAGGTTGACCTCGTTGTTCCAGCTGTAGGGGTTGAGGATGGTCGTTTGCGCGTCTTCGGCGACGGTGCACGGCCCTAGTTCCTCGAAGAGGCCCATCAGCGAGGAGCCGCCGGGGCCGCCGTTCAGCCAGATGGCTAGCGGGGCATTCTCGGGGTCTGTGCGGGATTCGAAGAACCAGAAAAAGCTGCATTTTCAGAATCATTAGGAGGTCATTGGGGTAATGCTTGGGAAGGTCGTACGTGTTGATCGGGTAGCCTTGCGGCCCACTGTCGCTTCCATTCAGAAAATCCGGGGGCAGGTGGACGTAGCCAGAGTAGGAGCGCACACCGGGGGTGGTTTCGCAGATTCCGGGCTGTTTGGCGGGGTAAGAAACTGTGGAATTTCGAGATCGGAGGGAAGAATACCTCTTTGTATGAGATGCTCACGTTCTCGTGGAGCTTGGATTGAATGACTGTCACCCCTCCGAGCTTAGGAGGGAATTGCGCACTGGTCAGACCCAGGAGACTGGCGATAGCTAAAGTGGTTAGTACGACCATGCTGCAAGACGGTCTTTTTGTACGTTGACCGGAAGTGAGAAAGGCAAAGTGAAAATACCCTTGAGCTGGTCGGAAGCGGCGCTTAAGAAGAGCTTGGTGCTCCGCCAACGCAGCAGCCTAGATGCAGTGGATGAGTCGACAGTAAGCCCTAGCTGAAGGCGCCATTCGGAACTCCGCCGGCGTGAGAGATACCTTCCACAGGGGTCTGATTGGCGGCTGATATGCTGGTCAGTGCACTACTATCTTGCCTATGTAAGCCAAAAGGCTTAGTTAGTTATCCATCAAGCCAGAAAGTCTGACATCAAATGCTGAGCTAATGGCCGATCAAGAACTGAGGTACCTGGTTTCGATAGCGGATGTCATGCATTGACACGGCGATGACTGCGGCCCTGTGAGCGATCCCGATCGGCGCATTCCAAAGTACATGATAAACGTCCAACACTCACTCAAAAGAAAATCAAGGGTCGAGAGGATAGTGCATCTTTCAGAAAATTCGATGCTCTCCCGTGCTCATTGTACCCTACTAAACCAGCATTTCTTTGCAATCTCGGGGAATGGAGACCAACAACTAGTCAAGACAGTGATTTTAGCTGCGCTTAGTACAGACCTCATGGCCAGGGGTGAGTCAACCTCGAGCTACATTCGTTACCACCCACCCACAACGCCTGTGACCTATTTAGAATCAGTGTAGCTACAGCTTAAATGATGCTGGAGTTGGCTGGCTGGAAAAAATACCCGAAGTATTGCCATCCCGTCAGTCTGATGTCAACAGGCGGAAGTTGCATATAAACAGATCTCGGAACCCCAGATCCCACCAAGCACGATCGAATGCCGACCGGGGTGACCCCCAGATAAAAGTACACACTCAACGCTATGACCACTGTTCATCATCCTTTATCAAGCCTCGGACCCCTCCACCCGGCTCAAGCACCCACCATTACCCCCGCAGCCTCCATCGCCGAGCGCATCCGCATCACCGTCCATGATCCGCACGACCACGAAGCCCCCGCCATCCTACACCGGTCGCGCAGTTACAACGCCCGCGAAGTCCGTGGTGCAGCTGTGATTTTCATCAGCGGAGCAGGCGGCGGCGTGAGCGGTCCGTCAGGTAATGCCCCTCTCCGTCACCAGTTCCTTCCATGACTGGACTGCAAATAACATCAGGGAAGGGATCTACCCCTCCCTCGCCGACAAACTCACCCTCCACCTTTCCATCCCCGTGATGCGCCTCGACTACCGCGAGCCCGCCCGCACCCGCTACTGCACTGCCGACGTCCTCGCAGCCATGAACTACCTCACCCAGCAGTATCAATCCACCCGCTTCGTCCTGGTAGGATGGTCCTTCGGCGGCAGTCCGTGCTTCACAGTTGCCGCACGGGAACCCGAGCGCGTAGTCGGAGTGGCAACGATCGCCTCGCAGACGGCCATGACCTCGGGAATCTCAAAGCTCAATCCCCGGCCGCTGTTGCTGCTGCACGGGACCGGGGATACCGTGCTTTCGGTCAGGTGTTCGGCGGCGCTGTATGGGCAGTATGGCTCGGAGGGAGGCAGTCGGGAGCTGAAGACCTTTCCTGGGGATGACCATGGATTGAGTCAGAATGCGGAAGAGGCGGAGCGGTTGATCTTCATGTTTGCGAGGAGGGCGTTGGGGTTTCAGGATGGGTTGAAGGGAGTTGGTGGTGGGGATGGAGGACCGGGAAAGAGTTGGGCTGGGGTTTGGGAGGAGAGGTTGCATTCGATGCAGGAGGGGAGAGACCTGGAGAACGGGGAGGCTGTAAATTATTGAGGCTTTGTCTGAGCTTGTAGACAGATTGCTTATAGATGACGTAGGGAAGTGGAAGTACTGACGAAAATGAAGATATCAATTTTCTACTTTCGGCTGACTGGATATTTTGACCACGGTGAATCACATCGCCTCTCCTACCATCCGGTGAATAGACTGCCAGTGAATCTCTCGAAACCTCACGGCTATAACTATCCCAGGATATCTTCAACTTCAGTCCTCACCTCAACTCCAACTCTCTCGAACTCATCTTCTTTCATGAGACCCGTCAGCCATCAAATCGCGGTTTTCTTTCTCCCTTCTGAGTTCTCTGCTTTTCTGCTGATCATACATCATCTGATAGTTGATACGACACATATTCAGAACATTCACCATCTCGCGATGTTCACCCTCGATACTGACGAAGACCCCTCGTGGGTAACAGACCTGGAGGCTGCTCTGCAAGACGACCCAAAGACCGGCGACGACAAGAGGAAGAACGGCCCCCAGTCCTCACAAGCCATTCTCCAGCAACTCATGACAACTAACCCGGGTGCTTCGCTTTCATCGTCGATCTCAGGACATCAACCCAGCGTCTGCCAAGTATATCGTGAAATCGGATCCAGTGCAAACAGCAAATTATTTGAGCAGACAGGTACCCCGTGGGCATTCAAGGTCCTCCTTATCGACGAGGCCATAAAGCTATGGAACAACTACACTATGCAGATGAGGATTTACGACAGCTTTGATGGAGTTGACAAGTTCTTCAAAACGGCTGTCGCAGTCCCTCGGGTAGTCAGGTTTGCAAACAGAACCTCGGAGTTCTGGCGCACAAATTTGATGCTCCTCCCCGATGATCCTCAATTTCCACGCCAGCCGCGCAATCTTCTCTGCATGGAACGCATCCCTCCTCCGCCTTAGGCGGTTCGTGACGCGCTGATTGACCTCTTCTGCGACCGCTGAAACATTCCAGCTGCTAAAAGCGACCCGTCCGATGCCGACTGTCTGGTGCATGTCTTGTTGGGCAGCAGACATCATACTGCAGCGCGACCCGGATCCTACTTGTTCAGTCTTCGCAACTTCAAACTTTACAGTGATCAGATTGAACGACTCCGTCTTGACGCGTCCGCCTTGGCCGCCACAATGGCAGACGCCCTCGCGCTTCTTCACTGGCAGGCTAAGGTTGATGGCATTGGGAGTCGAGTTTGTCCTCGAAAGCGCCCGTCCTACGACGGATCACAAATCCATCACAGGCCACTTGCATCTTCCAGGATTGCACCGTCTCTCACCAGGTACTAGTACCTTCGAGCTGGTAGTGAATCCATCCATGCATATTCCGCGCACCGTCAGCCTGTGGCTATTGGGCTTCGATGCTTGTCGCCCAATCAGCACGAACGCCATTGGGGTCGGGCAAGCATCTGCAGCTGTCGTCAACGACCACCTCTACTACCCCCGACCCTTCTCGAACAATTGGTTCATCGATAGCTGGTGGACTGTCTTTGCCTGTCGCTATATCGAGACTGCAGAGAGGTTTACTTGGGGGACTTCAGCGCAGTCGCTTCCGCGCTCTTTCATCAGAGGCGTACAGATCAGGCTGTTGCCAAAGTAAAATACTGAGCGGCGGCAAATTCTCGGGTTGCGTCTTTTTTGGATGTAGGTCATGACATGGCCAGGCATTTTGCTTTACGACAGCTTCTGGCTCCTCATTATGATGTCTTGGCAATCTTCTAGGTGGTTGTTCTAGGTGATTGGACGTATTCACATTGTCAAGGGAGAGAGGTTGTGTATCGTGTATTTTGGCGTCCTTGCTTGGGACTGCACTCAATGTCAATCAACAATTGTTACTTAAGTTCCACATTTGGACCATTAGGATATTTACTAGTATTGCGAGTTCCAATATCGGTAACTCCGATGCAGCCCAACCAGTGACTACGCTTCCTTTTCATAAGTCCGTAGAGAATCAAGTCTCAGTGCTATTGAATTGCTGCATATGCTTTATCCGAGGTAATTGACGAATGACTCAACGTATCCGAAGTGGTAGATCGGCTTGTTCATCCGGCTCAAGGCCCTGGTGCCTGAGGCTCTCCGCGGAGTTGGACGATGCACGGACCACCCCTCCTCTTGGCTGCCGTGTTGGGAATAGTGGCAGATGGCGTAGGGCTGTCCTTACGTAACTGGAAGCTTCAGTCTTTTCTCTTTCAGGTCAACCGGAAGAGAACCTCCTTCGTGTTCGATGGCGATGAAATCCGCCTACGAGTGATCTGCTCGGATAGACTCAGTATCCTCGGGCATCGGAATACGGAATATGCGAATTGAGTAGGGTGCAAGGCGCATTCTAGAAGAGCATCGATCCGGCTCCACATTCGCACTATTTAAATGTCTCGCCTCCCACTTGTATCTTTAACACCAAGCATTCACTCACCTCAAGTCTAAACACCGTTTCCATTACTCAATCGACATCCACCAGAACAAGTCAAGCTTCCTTGGCATCTTCGACTCTCAATGCATGGTGGAGGCTCCTCATCCCCTGCAAATGCAGACGAATTGATAGCCGGTAAGTCGCCACCCCGTATCATTGCCAACACGCAGTCATCTAACCCAACGCAGGGTTCGCAGAAACAGTCGACGACCTCGTCATTGTCGACTGGGAGGGTCCAGACGACCCGGAAAACCCGTTCAACTGGTCTAAGCTCCACAAATGGCTGGTGACCTTCGTCGCCCTCTTCATCACCTTCCTCGTGCTCGCCAATGGCACCATCATCACCGTCGCTCACTATGAGCTGGACGAGCGTTTCAATGTCAGTGAGGCCTCATTTGCCAACTCCTACTGGCCCGTCACCACCTGGGCTCTTGGGGGTGCCTTCTTCTCGTTGATCATCCTCCCGACGATGGAGGACTTCGGCATCCGCCGCACATTCCTCCTCACGCATTTCGTCTTTATCCTCTTCCTGATCCCGCAAGCTGTGGCTCAGAACTTTGCTACTCTGGTTGTCACGCGCTTCTTCGCCGGAGGCTGTGTCGCCGTGCTGGGCAACAGCGCCGCGAGCGTGATCGGCAACATCTGGGGCAGCGAACGCGAACGCACTAAACCGGTCAGCCTGTGGATCGTCGCCTACCTGGGCGGCAGCAGCATCGGGCCCGTGCTGGGGGCGTCCATCCTTCAATTCCTCTCCTGGCGCTGGATCTCCTACATGCAACTTATCTGGCACGGGATCTTGTTCCCCGTGGCCGTTGTAACCATGCGGGAGTCCCGTGACCTGGTGATCCTGAAGCAGCGAGCCAAGCGACTGCGTGCCAAAGGTGTGAACGCCTACACCCGGCACGAGATCCTGTCCAAGCCGCTCCTCGAGGTGTTGGCGACCAGCATTCAACGTCCGCTCAAAATGCTCGTCACAGAGTACGTGGTGTTCTTCTGCATGCTGTGGTCATCGTTCACCGTGGGCACGCTGTACCTCTTCACCCAATCGGTCGAGCAAGTCTTTGATGCTCTGTACGGCTGGGACCCCGTACAGTCGGGATATGTCCAGGGCGCCATCGTCATCGGGCAAATCCTGGGATGGCCGTTGACCCTCGTCTCCGCCAGGCTCTATTTCCAGTCCGCGAAACGCAACACCCAAATCCCGGGGACACCTATTCCCGAAGCACGCTTATACATGTCCGTCGCTGGAGCCATCCTCGGCCTCACCGGCGGGATGTTTGTCTATGCGTGGACCTCCTACCCCAGTCTCCCTAGGATCGCCCCCACCATCGGCCTGGGTATGGTTGGCGCCGGCAGCGTGGTCGTGGTGACGGGGATTATGGATTACGTGGTGGATGCGTACAGCAATTACGCTGGCAGCGCAATGGCGTGTGTCGTGCTGGGGGAGAACACCTTCTCGGCTTTCTTGCCCTTGGCGACGATGAACATGTATGAGACCATGGGGTTGCAGTGGGCGAGTAGCTTGTTAGGGTTTATTAGCCTGCTGCTGACGCTGGCGCCGGTGTGCATTATGATCTGGGGGGAGAAGATCCGCGAGCGCAGTCCGTTTATGAAGGAGGCGACGGTGCGGAAGGTGGCGGAATTGCATGAGGCAGAGGATGGGACGGATAAATGTTGATTCGCATGAGGCATGATTAGATGAGACTAGACTTTTTGAAATGATTTATGCATCTCTCAAATTACGCAAGGGACAACACAACGTCTTTACTTTCTTGGTGCTACAGTGGCGGCTTATCCTCGAACCCATTACTGGATCTTTGTGACATGCAATTGTCCGCAAGACGATTAATGGACTGATAAGCTGATATCATCAACTCACATAAGCAACCCCCGTAATGGCCCCCCCAAGATCAGGCAAGACCGTTGATTTACAGGACCCATCCAGATTGGCACAATACAACGACCCTCCCAAGTCACCAAAGAACATCCGCAGATTCTCCACATCCAATGCGATCCCAATGCCCTCATGAAGCTTGCGCACCAAGATCTTTGGCTGTACCTTCTCTTTCGAACCAGCAAGATCAGCCAGCACGACCGCGTTGACCGTATTCCCCCGAGGCGGATCCCCCCGATCCGTCCAGTACAGCGTCCCTGTCGCATGATCCAGCTCCAGGTCAATCGGCTCCGGAAGTCCCTCTAGCAGGCACTTCACATCTGCCCTCCGCTCGACTGGCTCCCCCTCTTTCCTCTCAATCCCCATCCGGAAGATCCGGCCCTGGTTCCCCTTAGACGGGCCCTTCTGCGTCCAGTACACCAATCCGGCCTCCTCATCCACCGCAATACCTACACACCAGTCATATACAGCAGGCGTATCCGTGCCCTCGCTGGAGGCCGCACGATAGAGCACTTCAATGTCACTCCCATCGAGGTTCGCCCGCATCACCCGCCTGCCCTCACGATCGGCCCAATACAGCTTCTGGGCCCGCGGGGCGATGGTCAGCTGTTTTGGCGTGTGGGTGTGGCCCTTTGGAACGATGGTCACGATATTCTGCCCCGAGAGATCGCAGCGCTGGATGGATCCGTCATCGGCGGAAGGGACGCCCATGTTCGACCAGTAGATGTGTTGCCGGGCAGCGTCGATGGCGATCCCGTCTGGCATGGTGTGGATCTGTGTGATGAGCTCCCGAAGATCGGAGCCATCTGGCTTGCAGGTCAGGAGGCGGCCATTGAGTTCTAAGGTCGAGATGCCCACATCGAGGAAGTAAAGTCGGGGGCTGGATGTTTGGGGGCGGGAGGGTCGTGGCGCCATTTTATATTGCTGAAGGGGAGTGTGGAAGTAGAGTTGTGAATTGACAAAGATACATTGGGACAGTTCTGCGCCGGGCTTCACGGCGGGTAGATATACTACTTTGCAGAGATAGAGAAGGTCCACAGGGCCACGGTATGCCGAGAGTTCCTTATTCCATCTTGGTCCACGGTTCCTTGATTTGCCTGTGTATGGTATAACTACTCCTGCTCGGATATCGGCCGATCATCGGAATGTCAAAAGGGGAACGGAACCGATAATGACATAATCACACGGGATGCTCCGGCCAACTCCGAGCCAGTCTCGGGATGGACTTTCTCTCCTACCTTTTTCAACCTCTTCCGTGATTCATGGATGATTCTCCAAAATGATGTTCTCATTCCACGCACGCCGGCCGTCTCCACATGGCGAGCCATCCAGAGGTCCCAGACCCAAACGAGCCAAGATCAGAAATGCCTGTGAGGTCTGCAAGATCCGGAAGACGAAATGTGATGGTGCTAAACCAGGTAAGGAAACCTTCCAGATACTCTGTTCCAGATACTCTGGCGCACAGTGGAGAAGATAAGCTCACCCACCCCCCCCCCCCCCTGCATTAGTCTGTGGTCCCTGCTCCAACCGGAAACGCGTTTCACGTGCCCCTCGGATGGCCTGTAGTTATCGCGAGTCTGATCCCGCGGAGCATTCAGGATATACCAC